ATATATATATATATAAACTTTATCTGATAGTTTTCATCAAGCTCAACATGATAATTCTGTTTATTTCCTCTGAGCAATGCATTAGTCTCCATGTTCTCGTTCACACTGACCTCCGTAAAATGAGAGAGAGGGACGGCTCGCTCTTTAAGCACACACACATCCATCTTGTTGCCCCGGAGATATTTGTAACAGACGAGGGGGGGGGTTGCTTCCAATACTCGAGCATACAAATACACAGCATGTAGGTACACACACACACACACAGGCTGGTATTTTGTCCTGACATCAGTGATTTGAGGCAGGAAATGACTGTTATTCCTGAGTGGCGGTCATTATCAGGATGAAAACACAACAATGGGTGAAGGAGAGGAAGTGTAGCCGCTAGCTCTGGCTATGGGAAACTGTGTTTGTGTGTGTGTGTTAACATGATCTTCCTCTTTAATGGCTCCTCTCCTGCGTTAGCACAACTTTCCCAATGATTTAACTACAACAATAACACATCGGCGCAGTCGTCCGCTTTGGTGCCTTTTCATAATTGTGGTATTTCTTGTGTCGGTGCATGCACTCATTCGCCCGTGCGTGCACTTGAGTGCATGAGTGTGGGAGGGCTTGTTGTGAAAGGAGGTTGTCAGAGCAGCTGCCAGACAGACAGCCATAGCTCATTACTATGCAACAGCTTAATCAGCCCGCTGTCATCAGAGACACACACACAGATGCACTCAACATGCAAATTTTACACATGACTGCCTGCGTGTTCGTACGCAAACACACACTTAATACGCACAATTATAATCGCTCACGCAAACAAAGCGATTGAGCAGCAGACATACTGTTGTCATAGAGTTCAGTTTATTGCGGTTGAGCGTTGATTGTTGAGAGGACACTCCAGGGTGTGTGTGTGTGCGCGCTTCCATAAAAGCAAAGCGGCCCGCAGCTTTGCCAAGAACCTGTCTGAATCCTCACGTCACCAAAAAGCTGTGACATTCTTTGTCTCCTCCATCTGGGCATTTTTTGTGGAAATTGGCAAGGGACCCACAGTTCCTCGCTACACCCCTGACAAATTTAGAAAACGTCCGTGAGAAGGTCTTATTTAATGTCAAGAACTCCCTGTCTACCCAACTGCAGTGCTGCAGAAATGTAGTAGTGTTTGTTATGCTTTCCCCCCCCCCAGAAGGCCGCACACAAACCACCACACGCAGGCTAACACTGCAGCAAAATGGCCACACTGGTGGTCGCAGCTGTTAACGACCGAACACAACAGACAAGTGGACGTCTCTGCGAGCGAGCCAAAAAGGCGTATGACACGCGGAATATAAATGTGGGACGAATCCCCTCGCTGGTTACCAAACAAGCATGACTGAGCAATTACCGCGAAGTGACGAATTAATGCTCGACACGGGGCGATGAGTGTCCACCGGTTGGAAGAGGCGTCCCACGGCCAGAAGGTCACAGTGTGGGCTCTGTGGAAAGTGGCTTAAAATCAACTTGTCACAGGTTGACACTTTTTCCTGACAGGATCTGCAAGTGCCGGAGATGACGGGCGCCAAAAGTAACATTTCAGGGGCAAGGTAGAGAAATATTTGTCGTTTGCATGTAGCTAGCCGTCGAGAGATGAATGTTTTGTGAAGGTGGGGTTTAGCAGATCTCGCTGCCTTGCTGCCTCTGATGTGGAGAGATGATCTACTGCAGGGACCCAAAGCTGGCGTGCTGATTGAAAGGACGTCGCCGAGGCTGCGAGTTTGACTGAAGACGGGGGATACATCAGCAGAATTGGACTGGCTTATCGGAGGAGGTGCAGTGAAACGAGAGAGAGCGAGAAAAGAGGGAACCGGCTGACGTTCCGATAATTCTGTCAGCGGGCTCGGAAAACTTGTGCGGCTAGGGAGTCGAATTTTGAGGAAACGCGAGCGGGACCTGTTTAAATATTCTCTCTGCACCTACGTTTTGGGAAAGAGAATGCACGCTGGCTTGCAAACCTGATGCATTTGTGCAGATTCGTATGGAATACTGTGTTGTTTTTCAAGCTGCTATAGCTCACAGTATCTAATTAAAGCCGCCTTTTTAGAGGAGCTTTTTGATCACAACGCATCGTGCAGCCCTCATTACCTTAAAAACTTTTGCCGAGGAAAAAAAGTGGAAGGATCGTTTCATCTCCCTGCGACTCTCTGGGCTCAGTCCCATCCTTTTGAAAAGCTGCAGCGCGGCAGATGAAAGTCACAGAATGGCAGTGTGGCGCTTAAAAAGGAGGCCGTTTTGATAAGTGCAAGGTCACAGGTTTGATTCCTACAACAGCCGAAAAAAACGCCCCTCAGGCAGAGCTTCCATTGAGCAAGACAACGAAGGCCTCTCAGAGAAACCCCATTGTCCTGGATTGGAGTGATACCTTTTTAAAAAAACAATGTTTAAAGATGGAAGACGAGGCATGTTTCAGAGTTAACCCCCGCCGTCTGGCGTGCGGTACAGCTTGAATAAGCTGAAGATGTCCCGTGCAGTGGTGCTGACAGACTTGGCCGAGGTTTAACAGCTGAGTGTAATAAAGTGGCGTGTGTGTGAGTGAGACCTTCTCCCGTGTCGAGCCTGCACCACCTGCATCTGTTGTTCACCGAGCTGAGCTCTGACAGGTCAGGCCTGCCAGGGAAACCGTGTGTATGGCGCGTTCAGCAGCATTATATTTCTGCAGGTCAGGACAGTGAGCTTGATCATGTTCAGATTAGCTCGCTCTCTCTCTCTCTCTCTCTCTCTCTCTCTCTCTCTCTCTCTCTCTCTCTCTCTCTCTCTCTCTCTCTCTCTCTCTCTCTCTGACAGGTTGAGTGATGTGCGCGTTTTGTCAGCTCCGTCTAAACAAGCACCAGCCATTCTGGCCGGCTTGCAACCTGTCAGCATCTGGCTGCTTGGATGTCGGTTCGTCGTCCTCTGCACCGGCTCGCCCTCACGGGTCATGAGCAGTGCGTACACACACACACAAAAACACAATCAGGCTGTAATTGTTCGAGTGGCTTAATTGTTGTTGATCTACCTTTTAAATAAACATAGCTTTCAATACAACATAGCTCAGAGTATCTGGTGCAGGATTCAGGCCTTTTTATTGACTATTTATCATTCAAATATAAAAACTTGTTATTTTTGTTGTTTTATTAATCTGACGATTATCTTCTTGCCTTTCCATTTAGTCAAAAAAATGACCTACAAATAGGCCAAAACCCCAAAGATATTCAGTTTACAAGCGTATAAAACTGAGTCGAAAATCTTCATTTTCTGGAACTTGTAGCCTGCGGAATTTTAGGCATTATCCCAAAAGAAGACAGTGATTAATCACATGTAAACAAGATAAAAGGAATTAAATGCTATCACCAAAATCATAAAGCAGTACAGCGCAAAAAGATCCAAATTGTGATGTAGATATTTGTAATACAATTGTTGCCATTTCGAAGCATCTGCTTGAACTTTTGTAATCAAGCCGGTGATCAGTTGTTGCACATATCCATTATAAATATGAGATACTGATCAGCTGCTGGAGCCATCTAGTTATGGGAAACCGTGTCCCGAGTTGCATAGACTAAGTTTATCTTTAAAGTGGATTGGGAGGGGAGGGGAGGGGGGGGGGGCTCTAAATGCAATACAAGGAAAGGATTGATTATCTCTCCTTTCTATCTGTTTATTCTCTAAAAAGTAGCTGCCTCTGTAAAAATGCGAGCAACTGCCATGGAATACTAAAATCCATTTAAAATGCTGCCTGAAGGAAAATGCATCTGTTTGAAATGCAGAGAATAAAGTGTGAATTAGCTGTACTTCCACGTTGTCCCACTCACTGCCTGTGCAGTATATATAGTATACACACATACTGCACATACTTACGAGAATGCAGTTTCATTTTGGCAATAAAATTAATTACCCATTTCTTACATCTCTGTTGTAGGTATCAGCTTCCTAGCTTCCCACCTCCACACCTTTCTACAGGGTCAGTCTTCCGTTTTGGAATAGTCAAATGATTGATACAACAACTGTGTATCACCAAATCGGTGTTTGATCGTCCCATTTAAATGATTACAACCTCTTATAAGTCACACAGTTGGCTCGGTCATGTGGGCTCCTGGTTACAGCGCCCGCACGGCATACAAACACCCGAGTGTACACTGGGGACAATGAAGCTGGCTGTTATCACGTCACCGTGGCTCAAGATTATGGCTACGTGATAAGCCTGTAATTACACTGGTGACACTGATGCATGACATGCTGCTCTATATGTGTGTGTGTGTGTGTGTCTTGTGTGCGAGAGAGGAGAATGTGGTGTAGTGTGGCTAGCGGGCTGTAGAAGGTGTCATAAACCACATGAACGGGGCCGGCCATCTGTCTCTCTCTTCCACACATACACACACATGGTGGTAGCGTGTACAGGCAGGGAGAGACATTAATCATCGGGTTGGAGGGGCTCCCAGGAGCAGCCTACGACCCGATGATAGGACGCACACCACCTCGATTGAGAGTGCTCAACAGGGCATAAAATAAGCTATTTCACAACGATCTTACAATCATCACAGAACAGCGAGACGAGATTTTGTTTATCGCAGCACACTTATTTGCAGTCCATCAGAACGTCCCGCGGGCTGTTTGCTCATCACACAGTGTACTCGACAAATGTTAGCGGGCAGGCCAACATCAGCAGAATTCTGCACTGCCTGTCAATTCATATGCAACGCGTCACCGGTTCAATGTTTTCATAGAGAGTAAATGACTGGAATAATGGCCAGAGCTGTAAAGATATTTAGAAATAAAAGTCCAAAACAATGAAGGCTTTCGCCTAAAGACTGCCATCATGTTCAAAGCAGGAACATTTGGGTCCGTCCTTTGCGTGCTTTGGTTGAAAGTAGTTCTGAATCAGAGAATTGGGAGTAGGCTTGTAGGTATATTTGGAAAACGATGACGCACATCAGATTTTAAAGTGGAATCTTAGGCCGCAAAACCCTATTTTTGCTGTCCAGTGAAAATCAATGTATCGCCAAAGTGCTTCATCGCAAAGCTGAAAACGGGACGTGTTTTATTAATTATAAGTATGAGTATTAGTCGTCATTTTACAAAGGTTATTTGGCCTCATCTATAAACAGATTCTGGCTCACAACACACACACCGTCAGTGTTAACTGCTCTGTCTCTGTGAGCTGTGGTGTTGATGACCCGTTTGTCCGCTGATGGCAGAAACTTGGCGGTCAAACCTGAATTTGCTATGTGACCAAATCAGGACCAGGGGAGACAGTTTTTTTTTTTTGTTGCCGTGTTGGTTCTTCCACTGCTTTGGTTCTTGTTGGTGGAGTGTGAGGTCAGCGGGTGCATCAGAAGGAGGGAGAGAGGGAGAGATAGCGATAGACTGTGTGTGTGTGTGTGAGTGTGAGTGTGAGAGAGAGAGACATATTTGCAAAGGGGTCAGCCAGAGTTTCCCCGTCAGTGAAATGTGTGTGGGATCAATGGCAGCGTTTGCCTCCGTTAAAAGCTAAATTCTTCTTAATTATTATTCGTCTTGTTTAATCTAAAGCAAGAGACAAGATGGCGGAGCGGTTTGCACTCACGCGTTTGGAAATGTAATAATGGTCTTAATCGAAGTGATGGACCAACAAACGCGCCAGTATAGAGAGACTATATGTTCTCTTGACTACATTAAAAGACATTTTCCTTTTCAAGGAAATGTAATTCGGCGCGTTTAAAGCCTTGCCTCGTAACGTCCTAATTTCCCAGTGTGGGACTCCATTAGCTGCCGTGGAATAGATGGCCCGAGCGGAGCAAAATATCGATCGGAACAACAGTTCCAACACGCAGTATTAATGTCAGAAAGAATAGGCCGTTACATTAGGCACAGAAATTCCTGTTGGAATCAACACACACACACACACACACACACACACACACGTTCCAGATGGAGGCCAGTAGCGAAGGCCTAAGTGCTAAGATAATAACCATTTGATTGGGTTAACAGAGGCAGTTGTGTTTAGGCCTGCTTGCTTTGCCTCGCGGAGCGATATTAGGTCGTCTCCTCTTTCACCTCCGGGGTTATTGAGCCGGCTCTATTAGTGAGAATCTACTTCATTGTTACACATGAAGAAGATGGGATGCATGAGTGGTGTTTATACTCGGCCCACGATCGCTCTCGGGCACAGCCAGTCCTTTCCTCTTTTCTTTTTTTTTTTTTTTTTTTAAATAGAAAAAGGAGCATAATTAGCCTCAGGTGATGGCACATACAGTGCTCATTTGCGGCATTAATGAGAGACGGAGACGGCAATAATTCAGCTGTTCAGCGCGCACACAGTAAATCACAGGAACCATAGAAGCACATAATGAAATCATGAATCAAAGAGGAGGTTATGAAACGAGGCAGCCGGTCGTCTTGTTTTTATTTTATTTGGTAGAATGTGGCCCTGGGGGCGGGATGGTCCAGCCTGTTGTGACAGACATTTGTTCATTGTATTGGTTGTGAGGGTGCCACAAATTTCTCTTTGAGAGGTCTCTGCTTTTTATTTTTTATAAAAGTCTCCCCAAAAAAAAGTGTCAGCAGTTCTGCAGCGCCGCGCTGACAAGACAGACATATTAGAGGATCTCGACATCGCCTCCCTATCAGACGGTTATGTAGGCCAAGAGACCCATTTGCATTTGGCTCTAGCCTTGCTAGCATCGCTGCATGTTCTGTGAAGGCAGCGATAACTCCGGAAAGAAGAAGAAAAAAAAAAAAAACTGACTCTGGGAGAGTCTCTTTGAAGCTAGGCCCCAATTTAGGTCATCACCGAATGGTGAAACAACAGCTTTGCCCTTAGAACAAGACAGCAGACCAGCAGCTCTGGCTTCTGTATCTCCTCTTAGAAAATGGGGTTGAAGCCTGTAAATTCAGCTAAATAGGCCACCGAGGCTCTTTGCACAGCAACACTTGGCCAAATGCTCACACTAATTCTCTAGATGGATTTCGTCAAGTACACTCTGTACTGTGTTACACCCCTTAAAACTGAATTTGCATTTCACCCGTATACTGTATTTGCATTAGACATGTGCAAAAAGGAATTTTTTTTTTTTTGAAACTGAAGCACCTGGAGGCCAATGTTTTGTAATTGCAATACTTTTGGAAGGGTTCACACACAGGTTAGTGCACTTGAGCGAAGCTGCTGTACCGTGTTACCGACAGAGAGAGAGAGAATCAATACAAAACCAAGCTTGCTTTCTCACAGAAATACTTCACCAGCGGTTTGTTCAAAGCTTACATTTCACAGAAAGCGGCTGATGAATTTGTTTTCACTGTGTTCATTTTTTCGCTCGAATTACAAACAGGAGTGCTCACTGGGGCTCAGAAAACACACTGTGCTCTTCCCATCATGCTTCATCTGCTCACGGTGTGTGTGCGCATACATGTGCGTAGTCTTGTGTATGTGCCTCAATATGCTTCAGTGTTCGATTGCATTCATAAAAAAAGCATGCATACGTTCTCATGTGCACCCATTATATATTTGTACACACCGCTTTGGCTTTTGGGTGCAGTATGCGCGTGCTGTGGTGTGTAGAGGTGCATTCATACATATAACTGTGTGTGTGTGCGTGCATGCAAAAATCAGCCGCTAGATGTGGAGGCTCTCTCAACAGATGGCCTTTTCAACACACTCGCCTCTCGGCTAGGGCTGTTGCCAGCCCCCCCCAAAAAAAAACACACATACACACTCTCCTGCACAGAAATACGATCGCAGCCTTCATGCATGCAAACTGTTGCCAAACCGATTGCATAATGTATCATTTTTGAGACAGCAGGCACTCACGGAGGATGGAAATGTGACTGCGAGGAGGAACATTTAGTGAACCGTGTTCCACATTCTGTTTGATATTGGATTCACCTTTTAACATTCTGCAGAGCTTGTGTGTGTGAAGGTGCATCATCCTCGCTTATCAGGCAAGCATTGCCGTCGGCGAACACTGGTTTTCTGTCATCGATAACGGATGACGGGCTTTTGATGCAAGGCAGTTAAAACATTAAGTTGGGTTTTTGTATGCGATCCATAAATCAAAAATCTTAAAATCCATCATCGGAAAATATTAATTAGCCGGTGAAGGATCGAAAACCGCGGCGTGGCAGTTCACGCCCTCGCCTGGGGATAAAAGACACAAAGACTCCAGTGAGAATATGACATTCCACATTTGGGGAGATAGAAGACATTTTGGGTGTGACCTTTTAAGAATAATAATATTGTGTCACACCGTGCTTGAAGTCAGATCTAATCTCTCCTTCACATACAGTCTCACGGAATCCTGTCTGAGCCCTTAAAAAACAAGCCTGTGCAGGTATACCACATATCTCACAGATGGCTCAATCCCCGGGTTGTTTTTTTTTCTCGCTGCCGGTGTTAAGAACACTTCCGCAGCGCCGTCCTATAACCAGCGCTGGCAGTGATTATTGGCTCTTGACGATGGCGGTATACGCTAGCATGAAGCCATGTGCTCACTGTGATTTTCCCTCTCATTAATCTGCCACGCTCTTGTCTCCCCCTTCCCTCCCTTCCTCCCCCTGGAATCAGGAAGCCTCGTCCCGTCTCCCAGCTCGTCTCGCAGCAGCAGGTAACGCAGCAGTTTGTGTTGCCCCCGCAGCCCAAAAAGGAAAAGAAGGAGAGAGTAGAGAGGGAGAAGAGCGACAGAGAGCCGGCACTCAAGAAGAACAGTCACAAGAAGATGAGGTAAACAAGCTGACACGGGGTTTGGGGGAGGGGGGGGGATGCATGAATAACCATGCTATAGATGGTGTTTATGTTGCCACCTGAAGTGAGCTTGATGTGTTGTCATATTTCATGAAGAACTTCAAAAAGATCGAGGTGAGGAGGGTGGGGGAACACCAAAAATGAATTTCAAAGCTGGAGGATGCTCTTTGGAGTTTTCAGTGAGAGATGAAGGCGCTTTCACTCTTTGGGTAAATCGGTGATCGTAGTTTATTTTTTGCAAAGGGCTGATTGGAACAGGAACCTCAAGCAGGATTTTAAAGAAATATTCAATGCTGTTTCTCACTCTCTCCCCAAGGCCGAGGTTAAAAAACATCGACCGGAGCAGCGCCCAGCACCTGGAGGTGACGGTCGGGGACCTGACAGTCATCATCACGGACTTTAAGGAGAAGGCCAAGCCCTCGTCCGCCCCGGCGACGTCGTCCAGCACCGCGTCCACGGCCGACCTCCACAGCCAGAACGGCTCCAGCTCGGAGAACACAGAGAAGGGGCTCTCCCGCTCCTCCTCACCCCGAGGGGAGGGGAGCTCCGTCAACGGGGAGTCCCACTGAGTCACCCCCCTCCCTCCGATCCTCCCACGGCCTCTCCACCCACATCTCATCTGCAGGCCCATGGGTCACTGGTGGAGCATCCTGCCTTCACTTTGAAAGCTGCACATTACTGACAAAGAACAGTTTGTTTCTTTTTCTTCTTCTGGATATTACAATTTCAAAAAGGAATTGTGACCGAACATCAGATTTGGTCGAGTCCAATAGGTTTTAAAGATTCTCTGGAATCCTGCATTTAGAAAAGCAATACGAAAGACCTTTTAGCTCCACGTTTCGTAGAACATTTGGTGTCATTGGAAAAGGATCCCCCGCACGCTTTCCGAACCTCGCTCCGAGAACATTTACCAAGACTGCCGATTTTATTCTGACGAAGAACTTCCTCAGAACTGACCTGAGACATGTCTGAATAAATGTTCGGACAAGCTTTATGGTGCTGTGCAGCTTTATGGTGCTGTGCGGCTTCCTTCGGATGCGCCTGCCTTTGTCGAGGCTTTTCTCTTTATATGTGCAGCCCCAACCTCACATCCCCCTGCAGTGGCCGGCAGAGTGACCTATTCCCCCCCCCCCCCCCCCCCCGGGCCCCCCCCCCCCCCCCTCCCCCCCCCCCCCCCCCCATGGAGTCTTCAGCCTCTACCTTCCCCCGTTATGAACCTGAACCACCCATTACGCACTCTGTGTCCCGACACTGAACCTTCAACCTCACAGGCAACCGTTGCTCCTGCTCTTAATTACTCCAAGCTTTTACTTGTGGACTGCCTCAGCTGTGGAGGGACTTTTTTTTTGACACAGCAGAGCGGGCTGTACTCCTACTGGCACAATGTGGTGCTTTTGGGTAATGTTTGGAGCGGGTCGATTCGTTCAGGTAATGCTCGTTATGTACGTCTTAAAGGGCATCGGGCAGGTTTTGATAAAAGCCCTCTTTTGAATGGTGCAGGAAGGTATAGTATATGATATTAAAGGATAATACCGGTGTTTTTGTCTTGTTTTTTAGCTTGTGCCAATAATCTACACTACTTTTGGTTTGCATTACAGCCAGCCATGTTTAAAGGTACAATCAGGGTTTTGTTCCATCTTTACATACAGTATAAAAACCACAAATCTGCATTAAGTGATATTTTTGGGATCACACACTATATCCATGGCCAGCAAACCAGCTCTGACATGCTGTTGTTACACTAGACTGATGTTTCTGGTGAAGAGAGGCTACTAGCTAACTAGCTTCTAGCCAATTACAGACCAGAGCTAAAAGTTGGGTAAATACTGAGCTGATGTTTGTCAGAAGACCAGAAACATTAATCCGAATGGATATGTATGTTGGTTTGTGTCTGCTAGCTATGCAAGTAGGCAATAGATTGCCAACATATTGGCCATAACAGCTCAAAATCGGTCTCTCAGGGCTTTGTTTCGCTGTGCCCTCATGCTGTCAAACAAATACACTTAATGCAGCTTTGTAATTCATTACAGCCCGCTTGAAAAGTGGTGGTCATACTTTATCAGTCACATTATAAAGTACATGATGCCGGCAAATTGTGACACTAATCACTGACGTCCTACCATGCTACACCGTGGTGAGTGTCAATCACATGACTCCCACAGAATAAGACATACCATCATATTTCTGCTTTTACCTTTATTGGCACATTTTATTTTCTCCATCAACAGCTAATTGAAAGCAAAGTTTATCACAGTAAAGTTTGTCTCAGAGGAAAAAGGGAATGGTTGTTTTCAATATGAGGAATTGTCAACTAAATATGGACGGAAGCTACGGGACTGTGGCTGTAAGGGACACCGGTATTCTCCTTTTAATCTCTGCTGCACCTGCTCAGCGGTCACAGTGGAGAACCAGAGGGTGCCTAAGCTGTTCTGCCCCCCCCCCCCCCCTCCTCCTCTGTGGACCCAGTTTGGACACAGCATGGTGCTTTTAAACCGTAAAAAAAAAAGGAGCTTTGACTTCTGGACATGCGAAAGCTGATTGTGTGCCATGTGATGGACTTCAGAAACTGCTTCAACTTCTCCATTTTGACGTAGCAAAGTGGGAGGAGCTTTAGGATATACTAAACCCTCAGCGGAACAACTACGGATCAACCGAACTACACACTAACTTATGAAACCTTGTAGAATACTACACAGATAAAAATGGATATTTCTAAAAAAAAAAAAAAATATTGTACTACAATGTTTTGATGTGGTTGTATTATCCATCATAGCAGTGTTATTGTCGAGAGTTTTACTTTTTCATTTTAGCACAGATCCTAAGAACTGTCATGGCATGATAATATTATGGTCTCGGTATATTGTGGGACAGGCTACGTCTCTTAGTTTGTTAGCATCGTTCAATGTATCAAGAGATCTAACCGCTTCACCACACTAGCTGGGACTAGCTGCGTGGACCCGCGAGAACTGTTCGGAACAGAAGTTTGTTATTTGGTTGTGGCAAAAATGGAAAGATTTAAAAAAATATGTTGGTTGTCACTTGTTAATATTTTTTTTGTTTTTTTGTTTTGCTCAGTTTTAAAAATGTGTAAACTTGTTTATTACATGTCTAAATAAGAAAATGCAAACAAGAATCATTTTACTTATTGTCATTAGTCGCTGTCACAGGTTTGTTTTGCTCAGCAGAGTGCTTGTTGTTTCAGCTCCATCCGGTGAACGGCTTCATAACTGCTACTCATCCTCAACACAGTATGTTTGGGTTAAAATGTTTACAGATCAGGTACATGTACATACATTGAGAATGGTGTTCATCCATGCAATAGTTAAGACATTCATGTCCATGACTTCATTATAAAGGCTTACAGTAGTGAGCATAAGGTGTGGTTTACACACTATTAATTAGTCAACCACTACAAAAGTTGGTAACCTAATTTCCCCAGAATAAATGAAAGTGCAGTTGACGTCCAGGTCTGTTGTCTAGTGGAGCCACATCAATAAAGACGGACTAGTCACTTGAAGCCATGAATGGGTCTTTTCAGAGGTGGAATCCATTGAAAGTTGCTGCAGACACAGCCTGAGGGAAAGGGGGGGTGGTTCAACACTGCGTATCGCTCCCACCCTTCCCCCATTTAGGGTCCCGACCTCCTGCTTCTGTTGCAGTGAAGAGCATCAAGTGAAACGAGGGGAATAGACAAACTCGGAAAATGGTTGTGTCCTTCAGAATAAAAGTCTAAATGTAGTCCTTAAAGTGGTTATGAAGGCCAGTGGCTGCACGGAGGTACAGAACCTCGGAAGTAATTATAACGATTGTATTACAATATACGATGAAGATCACTGGCATATTATTTGAATTAGGGTATGTTCCCAAGCCTCCCATCTTTTAGGTGTATGATTGTCAAATGTCAAAATTCTTGAATTTGGAAAAGATGGACTAAAGATACAGCAAATAGTTCCTCCTTCCCTCACAATATAGTCTTCTGGAACACGTGTAACACAAGCATTACCATATTACAGCCACATTTTTACAGTTTGTAACTTCATTAATGGGTCTCAAATGTCATAAATATAACCAAATAATTGTACTATCCAATTTATCCAACCAGAAATGTCCACTCTGACTACATTTAAATATGGTCACTTTAGAAAGGAAATCTTTTCGAAAACAATGAAAATCTGATGCGAGTATGGCAGCTGAGGAGCATTATGTTTAGCTACATTGTTTTCCACACCTACATTGTCACAGTATATACATTGTAACATATTATTACTAGACAAGATATCAGCTCATTCCATCAGACCAAAACAGACAAAGAAAGGTAATTAAAGCTACAACAGTATCAATATTTTTTTCCAAAGCATAAAAATTAAAAAATGTGTAGTGAAGAATTGCATGTCTTCAGAATTACCGCCAGAGGGTGCAATTGACACGCCAGATAATCATTTTATTTTTATACTTTGACCGGAAGTGCGTTCCCACTGCGACGAGCTTCGCAGTTCGTACTATAAGCTTAGTTTCTATGTCATGACTGTAGCTACGAGTTGTGTTTTCAAACTCCAAAATGCGGCGTTACATTCGTGCACTAATGTTGTGCACGGTGTTCGCCGTGTTTTCGGGCTTGTACGTTTACAGTAAACTATTTTACGCGGACGTGTCTGTCGGTGGAAACGGACCGAAGAGGGTTTTCATCCCACCGAGAGTCCCCGGAGGCAGGCGAGGTACCGCGGACAAAACTGGGCCCAAAAGCCCACACTGGTACAATAGGTAGGACTGGACTTTTATGTTTTTCCTGCTTTAACGGGGTCCAACTGGGGTAAAAAATACATTTCATACGATACGCATAAGTGTATATGTATATATCAAAAGTTACTCTGTACCACACTGGATGTATAGGAATGTAACGCTGACTGACTGAACGGCCCAATGCAGACAAAGTACACTGCAGTTAGCTTCATCTTTCTATGGTTGTAACGCGAGACTTGGACAGGTGTGGGACCTCACGTGCACCCTCCCTCAGAGTTCCGGTTGTAATTGATACATCACTTAAGTTATGGATACAGTTGTCATACAAATAGCCTACACAATATGACTCCCACCGACCAATAACTCGAGTATTTTTCTTCAAGTCACAGTTGAATCAAGTGCCCTTTGATGTCAAGATGAGCAACAAATATTATTATTATAATAACATTATCATACCCAGGACTCTGACATCATCTTTTTACATCCTCACTCCGACTCTCCTTCCTCTCACTCAGGTACATCATGCGTCAGCAGGGTCAGGCGGAGGCCGGTGGCGTTCAGATCAGACCTGAACCCCCCATGCATCTGGCCGTGGTGGCCTGTGGGGAGAGGCTGGAAGAGACTCTCACCATGATCAAGTCCGCCGTGCTTTTCAGCATCAAGCATCTCCAGCTGCACATCTTTGCCGAAGATCAGCTACACGCCAGCTTCATGGAAGCCGTGAGTAGGAAAATACTGCAAGTTGCTTGCTGTTTCACTGTAAACGACAGAGTTTGTGTTGATCATATCCTGTATAATATACCCCTACTATTAATGTATCTGTGTTCCAGTTGGAGGCGTGGCCTGGTTTTATTCGCTCCAGGTTCAACTACACAGTCTACTCCATCAGCTTCCCCAGTGAGAACGCAGCAGAGTGGAAGAAACTCTTCAAACCCTGCGCTTCTCAGAGGCTCTTCTTACCCGTGAGTTTCTTATAGAAGCATGAGAACCACAGTGGAAATGCATATCTGACATCATTATGACATTCTCAGTTACTTTTATAGACAAAACATAACCCAAGTTAAAAAAAGGACTGGGAAACTATAACAGATTATGTTCTGTTACCCTGAGGAAAATCTACTTTGTCAGGCCACTGCAGAACATCCACGTTATTGATGTTCTCAGTGACATCTCCTGTGTCTTTCTCCATCTGCGCAGCTGATCCTGAAGGACGTCGACTCGATCGTGTACGTCGACTCAGACATCCTCTTCCTGCAGCCCGTAGACCTCCTGTGGGAGTTCCTGTCCCAGTTTAATTCCTCCCAGCTGGCCGCCATGGCCCCGGAGCACGAGGAGCCCCGCATTGCCTGGTACAACCGCTTCGCCCGCCACCCCTTCTACGGCAGGACGGGCATCAACTCGGGGGTCATGCTCATGAACATGACACGGATGAGGAACACGTACTTTAAGGTAAGGCTGAGGAGATATTTGTTCGGCTCTGTTTACTGTATTTGTGTACTACCTTTATTGGCCACAAGATGTCCTCCTTCCGCTGCAGATGTTCACCAAAGTCTGTGCAAGGAGTTGGCAATTGTGAAGCTCCCGACACTTACAATATTGTGACACAGTAAAGGCATCTTTTTGGTGTTTACATATGTGTTGTTGACAGAATGACATGACGTCTGTGGGGCTGCGTTGGGAGGAGCTGCTGATGCCTCTTCTTCAGAAATACAAACTCAACATAACCTGGGGAGACCAAGACCTTCTCAATATCATTTTCCACCACAACCCTGGTAAGGCTGCACGCACCAGTGCAGCACACATAGCATGTATCTTTCCACTTACAAGACTGTAGACTTCTATACATGATGCTTTTCAGCCTCCACAGACAAACTGAAGAGGGGTTACTTGTTATCAACTGCTAGATTAGCTTATCGTGCTCGTCAAAGTCTACAGGATGTCCCTTCGCGGGCCCGATTTGTTGACTTGTTTCTGTGTTCGTACACTTCCACTCACAGAGTGCCTGCTGGAGTTTCCGTGCCGGTGGAATTATCGTCCAGATCACTGCATCTATGGCAGCAACTGTGCGTCAGCGGAAGAGGATGGCATCAACATCCTGCATGGAAACAGAGGGGTTTACCACGACCACAAACAACCTGCATTCAGGGCCGTTTACGAGGCCATACAGAAGGTGAGCAGGAGCCCCCGCATTGGTGTGTTTGTGTTGGAGTCTGTGGGATGCTTGAATACACTCGTCCATCTATAGGCTTTGTGAATTCAGTCACAGTATGGGCCTTTACTTATGTTGCATCACAGGATATGGATTTGACATGATGGGATTTATGGACAAAAATTGTCCCCAGTGCATACAATTAACTGCGTTTCTATTTATCTTTTATTAACTTAATATTGTTCACTTTAGACATCTTCATCAAACACAACTAAAATGTTTTACCCTTGTTTTAAAAAAAATCAATTTCACTAATAATTACTGAAGACCTAAAGTAGATAACAAGACGTCATATCAAGATGAGTGCAGTTTGTCTACGATTACAGTTGATTACAGAAACGTGTCGATATTAAAAGGTAAATATTAACAGAAGCCCCCCGAGGTCTCAACAGCCACAGCCATTATACAGGCAGATATTGATGGCAGCAGAGGAGCAGCCAATGGGAAATCTTTGTGAAATAAGAGTGTCTACCAGAAAAGTGGCTGAAAACAGGCCCCCTGTTACAAGTCTCTTGGGTATATTAAAGTTAAAAAAGAGACAAAAGCCCGAGCCTGAGCCCTTTTCAAAGTGTTGTCGGTGTAATTTAGTGCAACATCCGATGAGAGGAGCCCTTTTATAACCCCAGTGACACACCTGCTCTCCAACACCGCCCTGTTCATTCACCCTCCGAGATGAGATTTTGGATTGGCGCTGACCCTAAAGATCGTTAAGTGTTCGTAACATCCGATTGTCTTCATTGGAAAACAAACGTCCACCATTTCCAGAAGGTCGGAGTGAAAGCTAATTTCCCCCATGAGGATTGTTTATGGGTTGCTTACCAACAGTGTAATGATATTGACGACACCGGTGGCATTTACTTAATGAAGCCATCAACGTTGGGAGTCTCATTGCTTTCCTATTAACACAGCATTGAACAGAGATCAGAGCAATGGCTGATATACACCGTATGTATGCATGGCCTGCAGTTCAAACTGCAGCTTTATAGGACAGGATCAATTACAGCAGTAGACACACATGTACCTCTGCGGCTAGAAGCGAGCATGAACCCGAGGGCCCATAGCGTGCGCTAACACATATTCTTTCCCAATAGCCTATGTAGGTATTGATACTTTCATACATCTGTGATTGAGTCTGGTCGGCCAGGAGTATGGATTGATATTCTGTGTGTTTCATCTGCAGCAGAACCTCAGGAGTCTGAGCAGTGTCATGGAGGGAATGACAAACAGGACAGCGCTATTTTCAGGCCTGGAATAAATAAACCCACAAAGTTTGGAAAAGTCGTGGGGTTTTGCTTTGCAAATACTTCTATAAAACTATAAATCTATGTTGGTTAGACAATATTGTGTTCGGGCAGATGAGATTCATCACTTGGCATGACATTATTCTCTGCGTGGGGTGACAGACTCTGACCTTTTATTGTTTTATGACTGAACAAATGTTTCAGAGAATGTATGGTCATAGAAATTTGCCTCAAAGGCTTGGAAAAGTCAAGGAAATTTCATGGTAACCTTGTGTATGAACCCTGACTTTTACTCGGTTTATAAAATATAGCATAGTTGCTTGAGAATAGAACTAAGTGATGATGAATTGAGGACGGGCACAGAAAAACATGGCCCAAAGTGCAAATCCTATGCTCCCATTTGACAAACCCAACCTGGCTGGTTTACTGTGACTTAGAACATGTCTAATTTGATAGGGCTCAGCTCAGTAGCAAGTCATTCTTAAAGGTCCATACAGGGAGGCAGTAAAGAGAAACCTCTGGTAAGCTTGGGCAGCAGAGACAAAAGGGTGAAGGCTGGTTGGAGAGCACACAAATACTGGGCCTGATTGCTAATCTGGAGCAGGTGTGTAATCAGGTGAGGGCCTGAGGCGGGAAACACACTGAGTGCAGATTGAAGACAGGTGTTGCTGATAACATTAACGATGGCTGTGGTGTATTCACCCGTCACTTTGAGCTTTGTCTTCACTGCTTTACATGATTGTTGAAGTTGAACTACTTTACCTGAGCTAAGTGGTTAATGTTGTTAATATCACAACGAGTGATTCATTCTACTGTGATTTTCTTAATAAACTGTGGCCATGCCCTGTATCCTCACACAAGGAAATGGGAATACAAGCAGCAGTGCTCCTCCCTGTCTGTCCGCCCGTCTGTCCCAAGCAGACCACAGCGGTCTCTCCGTCATAAAGCATCTCCTCCCTCCCTCCGCTGCAAAAAGAAGCTGAGCCCGGGAAGCAGCAGTTAAATTTTTACAGCCGATGGTACGTTTAGAGTTGGAGTCTGCACACCAACAGCGCCCCATCAGCCACACAAAATCAATACACCAACTGTAAATGCAACTTTATGACCTTGCAGGTGTGTGTGTGTGTGTGTGGAAGAATGTGCTCATAAAAACGCCATTCTCTTTGTGACCCAATATCTGGGACTCAACCGAAAGCAAATGAGCTGGCATAAAAAATGGTAATTCCCCTTTGATTTCCTCGGAGCGTTGTAAAGGCCCCTTCATTATTGGGAAGACATGAAATTTCTTCTGAAATCCCCGGTTATCACCAAACGGTAAGCCTATAGCATAAAACTGACTCCAACAACGTGGGCCGCTTTATGTTATGCCCGGCCGACCGATCAGATTAGATGTGCGGTCCCGTCTGAGTTCAGCATGCCTTGCGGATTTATTTTTTTAATTTATCCAGGGAAAGAAACCCAAATGCTGCGCAAAGCACCACTTTGCCCACTTGCTGAGGGAATCCGATCAATTCCACTGGAACAGTAGCAGGTTGAGAGCTGTCCTCGGGGGAGTTTTGATAGTACTTTGGGATTGCAGCAGCTCATTTTAAGTTTACAACCTTTAGACAACCGCCACCCCCGTGTTTCAGCTCTCTGTAGAAACAACTTACTTGGCAAGTTTCCGTCATAAAAAAGTTCCTTTTCATCAGGATGCTTTTTGTTTCCTGATGTAAGGTCAGTACTTTTAAACCGAGGAGCTTATTCTCCGTTTAAATATGGAGTGCTTTTTGGATTTATCTTTATATCCTCGGAGCAAATCTGGAAACAATACAGCCCACCAAACCTAAGCGATGAATTGTTTTTGTCGTTCCAGTTCTCTTTCGGCGCAGACCCAGTGGCTTCGTTGTTGGATCCACTGGAGGAAGAGCTGCTGAAGACGACACACACGTATTGTGGTAAATCCCACGCGCTTCTCACCAAGAGGCTGGCACACAGCCTGGCAAACATCAACAGTAAGGCCCCACGTGGACGGTGACGGAACGGAATCACAATGATGGGACGGAGGCCAAAAGGAGGGCGGGCCTTGAGCTTGTTCTCAAAGACTTGATTGTGACTGAACAGTAAGATACTGTACAGTTTATTTCTAATCCTCCAACAGCAGGGTTTTTAGACTGATCACAAAAACATGTTTTACTTGGCAAACTGTTCAATAACAAAGAATTATGTCCACACTTCTTCGTGGACAGCTAATGAGTGGAGCTTTTAGGTTATTTCGGTGAACACCTGCTCCATAAAACAGTTGGGATTGTCTCAAACTGAGACTAATTAGTGCCCACCTCTTAAGTTGCTCTGGATAAGAGCGTGATGTAAATGTCTGCAATCTGCTCTAAATGTTACGTTATGTGAACGTATAGCAGAGAAAGCTATTTACTACTGGTGGACACATGGATTTTTTTTTGTTTCTATTACAGACTTTTATGACTTTTTATTTTTTTAAAACCAGCCATCTTCCAATCATTTCTTCCTTTCAGTGCCTTTGGTGACCGACTAAAGGTGAATAAGCCTCATGGTGCAAACTATCTGTAACAGGTTGGAAGAGTAGCTCTTGACTTTCCATATTGGAGAATGTATTGAACCTTGTGAAACACTCTTATTAAAAGAGACAAAAGAATCCTATCAGAACTGGACGAAGGCCCCATTTTCACAGCTGTATGCACTGGCCCACTTTTTTCACCATCAGAAACCATTTCAGTACCAACAACATGGAAGAGAAGTCGTTTCAGAGCATATGGTTTTCCTGAGTAAAGGTTTGTCCTGCTCTGTTATTTTATCTGTTACACAGATCACCTTGACCCAAAATACAACAAGCAAAAATGAGGAGAGTCACATGGTCTACGGTCAAGTTTATGTTTTGGGATGTCAGGTCATGTGACTCGACACAAATGTTTCTTTTTTGTGTCTTCTAAGTTTATACATTTCCTTTTGTTACTTTGAATACACATGTTTCTGGCAATTTGTGACTAATTCGATACTACAGCCAGCGTACATAATGCAGAAAAATTGTTATTGAAAATATGAATAAGCTACAAGTTCCACTGCCAATGCCAAAGCATTTCTTTTTTACTATAATTATGGGTTTTTGCACCGTTGAATGTATTTTCTAAATGTTATTTTCAGTGCTTATGTTGGTATGGTTGTATTGTGAGGATATGCTTTGTGACATGTTTATATGTCATGTGCTGTTTGTGTGTGTGGTTTTTTTTTTTACATTAAATATCATTTTTGTGGAACTGTACAGCAGTGTGTCTTGTTTAAACCACCAGAGGTCAGAATTTTTTGATATTTTGGTACTAGTGATTAATGACAGATATTGTTTAGGTACTTTTTACAATAATAATAAAATATTTATAACAATGTAATAACATAAGGGGAAAGCTACTTAAGCAATTGAATTTTTAAAATCATTGCTATCATTTCCACACTTTAATAATACAAACATCTCATTAGATGTTTTCTCTTTTTACCAACATGAGGCATCTTTGTAAGTTTATTCTATAAAGATGTAGCGCGAAGAAGATTGATGCTACTTTTCTATCGCCTCCTTGGGCAGATCAATGGACTTTCCAATAATCCATGACCATTTCTGCCTCAGCTCTGAGGCGCTCATAAAGTGTAAGTGATGGACCAATAACACGGCCGTATACGTGCCTGTCTGGGACACTGTATTGCATTGAGTATGTAGAATGAGTTTATGCTTATTCCCATTAGGTGGGGGATACAACTGTCCGTTTATGACTCCAGAGGTAGTTTGATTCATTGCACCAGAAATATCCTTCATTCATCACTATATATATATATATCCGTATGAGAGCTTATCAATTACCTTTATTGACCGGTGTGCTTAAATGCAACATGTAACAGTCCAGGTCCCCAGAGGGGAGGGAGACAATGGCTCGGATTGAGCACCACATAGAAAAATTCAATATCGCCCGTCCTCCGAAGGTTTCATTTTCCTGAAACTACATGTTTTATATCGTAATAAATTACTCCGATTTTATTCCTTTTGTTCCATCGCGGCTGGAGGAGAAACTATTTAAAATAAATACGTGACCTCCAGCTTTTAGAGTGGGGTTAGAGTGGGTAGAGTGGAAGATGAGGAGGAAATGGGGACATCGCAGAGTAATTAAATGTCTGTGTGCATGAAAGAGAAATATATTTATATTTGAATCGAGGTATTTTTTCTCTATTGTCACAGGACAAAATGTTGAAGAACAGAGCTGAGTGCATAGTGGGGGGGCAGAGAAAAGGCTGACGGAGTGTGTTGAAAGAAAAGAACAAGGCTGTCATAGCCAATATAGCAATTAGGGCACTTTACTGCTTCAGAGTTCCATCTTTTGGTTATTGCCTCTGAAAACAGAGTAGGACCTATAAATGGTATCATCAAAAGAAAAAGGCGACTGAGGAACAAGAAACAAACATATTCCAGGTATGTGCACAGGTTGGATGGCATACAGTGTATAGCAGTGAATAGCTATAGCAGGGTTCATTATAAACTGAATTAATTGATCAAATAGGATAAACAACCACGGAGGTAAAATCTGAAATCGATAAACGCCACAAGAACCTGAAGAGGTAGATTAGTGCAGCATGAGAAATGTATTTTATCATCATTTTTAACTGGTCAAGGGGGAACCGTTGCTGCTAATCCATCAACACGTGCTACATTACCACTGTGACTCTAAATGCGGATGCATCCAGTGTGAATAAAGCTAAAAAAAAAAAGGGCTGATATTACATACGCCTGCTCAAATGTGGTTCTTATTGCTGATCTATAAAGCACAAAGAGAACACACAAAAAAACCTTTAGAAGTCGATCTCATTAGAAAGCAATATCTATTTCAAGATGGGCACTGTGTGCTCTCCGTGCTTGCATGTATGTGTCATTTATAGTGAGTGTACGCTTTGATCTAATGTAGAGGTTCCTTTTATTCATGTGACTTGCCATATAGAAGGACAAGACGGCATCTGTCTAATTCTGACAGCTTGAATCACACAGTATATGGATGCATAATGCACACATGTTCAAATGCAGCGGGTTGAGAGGCATCACACGCACTCACTCACTCGGTATATGACTTCTGCTCCGCAAAATTTGAGCATGTATGTCATACGGTACTGCTAGATTGCACAGTAGGGGGTCATTTACATGTTGTAATAGGGTCTACATATCGCTACTGTAGGAGATGAGAGAGAGAGAAAGGCACACAGGCCTGAACGTTCCCCACAAACAGAACGCCTCGTGCCGCGCTTCTTATTTACATGTGTGCGACTCCCGGGGTACATTTGACGCCCAGCGAGATGGAATATGACATCTCTGCTCGTACCGACGCCGAATCTGCTTCAGTGATTCACTGGGTACGTCACGTGAAGAAAGAGAGTGATGGGTATTTCAGGCAGATTGGTTTATTTACTTCACAGCTTATTTACTGTGTTTATTTGTCTGACTCGTGGTGGCAAATGCCACGCAGCCAAGTACGTCTCTGTCCAGCTCTTTGCGAAATCTGGCTGCTTTCAAGGGAGGCAGCACTCAGGAATGTCCAACTATTATCTGTCTCTCTGCCAAATGTGATCCTTGTTGTTGGCCCCATTGCTTTGAATGTGTGTTCCGTCCTTACCCCCCCTTTTCCCGCCTTTACCTTCTTGCATTCCTAAGTTTCTATCTTTCCACAGTATTTCTACAAGAATCCACCTTTGAAATCCTCTGACCTAGTTTCTCATGCACCCATCAGAGGGCACGCAAACTTCCAAAGACAAACCACACTGCGAATACAAAAATACCCAACGGGCTCATCAAAGATGTTCTTTTTCTTCTTCAAGAAATGGCAACGGAATAGTTTCAAAGATAGATTGTGTTGCAGACGTTCACACCTCCAAACATTTCAAGAACGCCAGTGTGAGTGTGTGCCTTAGAAATGCTAGCCTTGGGGATACGAGCTCTTTCGCTTTTGTACTAGACCGTAGGCACACATTAGAGCCCAAACCAGGTTGCTACCGTGAGACAAACGCATCCAAGGACAATAACGAGACGTTATCGTCTTTTCATGCATTTGAGGTTGTTGAGTTACTGCTCGCTACAAAATGGGATGCTCGGGAGGGGTTTTGAAGTGGTTTGAGCACCTGGGTTTGCGATATTAACATAAAAGCTAGCAACAGTGTCAAAAGCACACAGCTCCAGGATTCCCTCCGGAGTGAGTCACGTCATTTTTAAAGGAAATGTTTAAAAGTTAGCTTATTAGCATTAGCATATTGCATTATAATTGTGAAGCTACCACCAGCAGCCGGGCAATTTGATTGTAATTTTTACACTTAATAAAATGTAGTAATAATGTAGTAATTACTGAGCTCTATAGGTGGATGTATTTTTTTACTTTTGGTATGAACCAGGCTAGATGTTTCTGCCTCGCTGAAAAGATTGATAGCACTCTCTTACAACTGTTATAAGGCTACATGCTAGCAGACAGTTAGCAAAATGATAGGCTACACAACTTTTGCACTTCAATTTCTGTATGTTTTTAAACCATATGGCTATATTTTGTATGAATTAGTGAGCTTTAGAGGTGCCGTTTTTACCTTTGTACAGAGCCAGAGTCAATCGTCTCATCTAACTCCCTGCAAGAAAGTGAATAAGCCAATTTCCCAAAATGCTGTCCCTTTAAAATAGTGTGATGTGTTGGACTCTTGATATAAATCGCAGAATGGCAGAGGTTTCCAATTCAAAATATTCCTTTTGCAGAGAATGTCAGCAGCATGAGAACACAAAGCTGCACATTTATATGCACTTGTGCACAATACACCTTCACACAGGAAATGCACACACACACACATCAGACTCACACACCATCTGCTCTCCCCTGTCTATAGAACCCATATAAAACTTAAAGCCGAAGCAGAGGTGGCGCTGAGATAGAGGGGCTGACATCAGAAATGAGAGTGACTGTGGTGCTTTTATATCCCAGCATACCCTGACCCTCCTCCTCGTCTCCCCGCCGCATCCTCATCACACAACAATAGATTTCCCATTACTGCTCCCTCCTTCGGTCCATCCCTCAATCACAGCTCGACAATATTTACCCCCGGAGTGCTCTGTTTCAGAACATACCTCAGCGCGTGCTTGTGTGTGTGTGCGGTCATGTGAATATTTGTTCATGGCTGTAAAAGTGGGCTTATATGAATGTGTGTGCAGTGAAATGTATAGCTGTATTGTATTCCAACAGCCCAAAGATTATCTTTTCCATTCTCCTCTTTTTTTTTTTTTTTTTTTACCCCACTCACCCAAGTCGCTCTTACTCACACACTCCCTCTTTCCCCTGTGAGCTTTTCAATTAAGCAATTACAGTAGCAGTGAATAGAGCCTGCCTGGACACTGGCGCTCTGTGGTAGAAGCACCTGTCCCCCCATAGACAGCAATTACCTGCCAGGCTGGAGGGGAGTTGCAGGCTATTGTCTGTGTGCATATATTTGTGTGTCTGTGTGTGAAACAGCGACTGTACGCGTCTGCTCAGCCTGTGTGTTTGTGTGCACACTCATTTCGGCTCTACAGGGTCTTTTGTGTGTGTGTCAGAGCTGGCCGCACACAAGGGGAGATTGTTCTTAATTAGTCATATTCAATGACAGTGATGGAGGGAAATTTAGAAAGTCTACTTTTATTTGAGGTAATTTTTACAAAAAAAAAATATCAACCTAACTTTCATTGCAAGTACGTTGATTGTTCAGGGTGTGCGAGCGGGCGTGCAGTGGGAGCAGACCAGCGTGATTTGGCCTGGAGCAGCTCAGATACCGCTGGCGCACTTTCATGGCGTCGTTAAACGTTTTAAGCCCTGCTATGGAGCGAATTAAAGAGGGGTTTTCTCTCAGCGTGAGCAGAGAGTAAGTGGAAAGTGGCAAAGAGAAAAAAATTGAAGCAACTTCAGAAAGCTTTGAGGGGCCGCTCCAATTCACTTAAAACCGTATATATCTGGACACAACGGCTGTGCTCGACAAAAAAACGTTAAAAGTCATGGAAAGATTGAAAAATAATTCATCAAACCGTATAACACTCGAGTCGCGTGTGCACAAGTTACAAACGCAACAGGGACCCATTCAAAAAAAGATTTCTTGGCATTGCTACTTCTGAAAACAAAACTCCACAGGGTGTCTTGTGTTATATTATAGTGTTCCCAAAAAAGCATGTATAGGGGTTCGCAGATATGGCCGATTGACGTTTACATCAGGCCGACCAAAGTCGACACAGGGACGTGGAAAGTAGCTTTATCGCTGTTAGTTCCCTGAACTAGCACAGGTATAGTATCTCAGATAGCTAGCTAGCTTGGTAGCTGAAATGACTGACAGGCTTCACAGCTTCTCAGCTAACAAACATGTTGACTTACACCCTGGAAGGTGCTGCACTTAACGCAGTCCCTTTTTAATTCTTAATCTCTAACTGAACCAACATGTCAGAACACAGTGAGACTGATACCATAACAGTGACTCTTTAACACGTCAACCAGTGTAGTCCTATAGATTGTCTTTGTTGTTCTTTGGTTCATTACCAATTAACATGTAACATTCAGAACAAGCACACCCAATTGATTCAGCAGGTGTTCTCTAACTGCAGCAAAGAGGGCAGAGTTGCTGTTGAGTCCTGCGGTTTTCCTTTGCATTAATTGCGAGAGCTCTTGAAGTGTGGCCCTACTGGTTTTATGTCGGCGATTCATTGCATCATCAATGTGTCTTTTTCTCAATGTTGCCTTTTTGTTTTGACCACACTATTACATCCAGGTAGCTTCTAGGAACAATTCATCGAAAGTAGTGGAAGTAAAAAGTGTATGATAACGCATTAGATCATCAGAATTACATTTAGCCAACGGCATGGAGTGCAAGGAAGATATACCATGTATTAAATGTTTTGACAACCCATAATAACTTATGTATGTATAATATATTTGTGCGAAGTAAAGCTGTTTCCAGGAAAAGTTTGTTGAGTTTTTAGTAGGGCTGCAGTAGCTGAACTCACTTGTGGGGTATAATCTAGGAAATGATGATGATGCAGTATTTATATTTCTGTCAATTTTTTTAATTTTTTTTTTTTAATTTTTTTTTTTTTAAATAGTACAGAAAATTGCAACCCCAGCTACTTTTTCTTCACCCAGGCAGCTGATGTGTATTTGTCCAAATGACACCCCGGTGAGTCCTGTGCTGGTGTCTTGTTCTGGCAGCTCCCTGGTGTGTTAATTTACGCCCGGGTCCATTT